AGCATGGAGCCGCGGGCCGGCTGCCGGCTGCCGGTGCGGGTGGAACAGGTCGTCAACGGCGCGCTGGTGGTCACCGTGAGCTGTGGCGAACGCAGCTTCGCCGGGATTCTGCTTGACTGCACGAAAAAGTGAGCGGGGCGGGGGCGCGGGCCCGGGACGCCTTGGGAGTCCCCCGGGACACTTCCTCGCCGCCCAAGGACCGGGTGCCGGCTCGGGGCGGAGCGGCGCAGCCCGGCTCACGCGTTCGGTTTCCGCCGGGCCCGGGTTTCGAGGCGCGCCAGCCGGCCGCCGGTCTGGGTGCGAAAGTGGCTCTCTCCCAAAGTCGCCGCGACTTTTGGGGCGGGAGAGCGCGCCGTCCTGCCGAGTGGGCTGCGGGTACCGGCCCCGGCGCGCGGGAAGCGGGGCCTGAAACTCTGCACATCAGCCGTAATTAACGCACTTTTCTTTGTTCAGACTCGCTGTTGAATTCGGCTGTTTGCAGAATTGCGATCTGTTCAAGGGGGTCATTTGCCTGGTTGCTCACCTGTCTGTCACTTAATGGAGATGCCCTATCTCTATCCTGGGTCCCTAAGGCCTACATGTAGGAGTGACTGTTGGGGAGCAGCCGTGCTGTCTGCGGCGTGTAGAAACACCACTGCGGGTGCAGGAGCCTCGCGGGCTAGTGGAAGATACAAGTTACTGGCCACTGCCCCTGCTGGAGGGGAGCAGTGGGCTCGGGTCCTCAGACCACCTGTGCATCTCTTGCAAGGGGCTCCTGCGCAGAGCAGCCTCCTGAACCACAGTGTCACACGGCAATGAGCTGTCACTGCCGGATAAATGATTAGGCATTAATCGGGCTGCGACTTTCTGCCCCTGCTGGGCTTTATTTTGGAAGTGGGAGCAGCCGAAGGCTCTGCTTTCAAATGCCCAACTTTTGCCCTTCGTAAAGTCCAGCTTCTCTTGGGTGCCGGGCACAGAGCAGAGCCCTTCCTCCTTGATAGTTACCCTGCTGACATTATGTCTTCATTAGATGTGCCAGAAGCCATTTATGCACAAGTCATGTGACTTAACATATGGCCTCCTGTGTGACTGGTGCCCCTCTCCTTTGGTTACCACCACAAGTGCCTACAGGATGGGGTGACATTCAGGGGTTGCAGAATAGCCACCTGAGGGCTGTCAGCAAGCCCTTCCCCCTGCTGATGGCTGCCCTGTCCTCCCTAGGTAGGTCTGCAGTCTCTCCCTGGAGGCCCTGCGTTTCCCTAGCACTCAGGCTCCTAGGTTTAGGATGAGGTAGGCTGAGGCAATCCCGGCTTGTGGCTGAAGATATCCACAGAGGTAGTGGGTTCCCTGCCCCGTGACCCCTGGCTAACTTGGTTTGCAATTCCACACCCCCTTCATGAAAAGAAGCAGACTGCCGGGATCCTCGGCTTGGAAACTGGCAGCTATAGGATGCGTGGGTGTGTGTGCTCCACGTTCTCCTGTAACCAGAAGCCCATGGAGCCAGGAGCTCAGCCTTGACAGGCACAACTCTGCTCCTCAGTGGCTCCTTCTGGTTTTGGTTGCTTCCATGTCCTTGCAGATAATCTGAAGATAAAGCTGCCCTCCCCTGTCCCTCTAGCCCTCCAAGGTTTGGCTTTGAAACTGCCCCTGCTTCTGTTCACGCTGGTCTTTCCCTCAGGCCACCTCTGGCTTCTCTTCCAGTGTTCTATCTCCATAGTTCTATGTGTTGAAAAGCTTATGTTTACAGCCCTACTTGTCAAGCAGGACAGTGCAGCTTACAAGCTGTCTGCCTGTTATTGGCAGTGGGAGTCTGCTTTCAACTTCCAAGGTCCACATGCCAGCCCTCCCTCCCTGGTGCCAGTTTCTCCTGAGGGCCCAGTGCCTGCTCTTGTCACCCATGGAGGCCTAGTCCCCGGATTTGGGCACTGATGGGCAGGGAAGAGCTCCCAAGTCTTATTTCCTCCCACCTCAGGGCAGCCTTTGGGACCCTGAGCAGCAGGTAAGTCACCATTGCTGGGGTGCTGGCACAGTTCATAGGCATTACAGCAACTTCCATAGTTTGGATACAGACCTGATGGCGTAGTTGTCCTTCTGTTCCTGATCATTGTGTGTCCCCCTTGCTGGGTTAGAACTGTTACCTGATGGCCTCATTTACATAGGCTCCTGGGGGGAAGCTGAATCCTCAGTCCAGCTGAGGCTGGATTCAGCCAGCATCAGCGTTTACCATGGAGTCAGTCTGGGAAGATGGTATTTTCTTCTTTGGTTTTCTTTCCTCTCTGCAGAGGGTCAAGGAGCTATGAGGGGACTGGGCCAAGGTCTTGCCCATAGTCACCTGGTACAGTGCTGAGTGCGTCCTTCCATTTACACTTTGAATCTGCTGCCTGACTGCTGAGCACCCTTAAGCAAGTTCTCTGCTTCTCTGGGTACCTGTGTGTTGTGCATTCCTGTATATTGAATGAGCAGCCACACTCTGCTGGGGAGTGGGCTGGATCTCCATAATCCCTACTTAGAAATAAATTTGAGAATCCCTTCCAAAGCCCCACTGGCCCAAGTCATGCAGGAAAGGGTGGGGCGGACGTTATTCTGTGGGTCGCATGTCTTTTTGAGGCCCTCAGGTGGGGTGACCCTGGCTGAAGGGTGGCCTGAGGACAGCAGAGGCCCAGGGTGGTAAAGAGCTGGCATCATCAGCCAGGCCTACTGACTCAGGACTTCTAGTCTGAGCTGTTGAGTCTTAAAATTGCCAAGTTTTGAGTCGCTCATAGTGAATTACCATTTACTGGGATGGTCGGGGTGACAACTTCTGTGACCAAGACTACAGCCACTGCCTGTCCCCAGGCTGAAGAGCACCAAGTTCTATCCTGGAATATTGCTGTTGTGGATGGAGGCTCAGCTGCTGTGGTTACTCCTGAGATGATCAGCTGGACACAGGGACAGTAATAGTGCTCAGATATCCCCTCTGCCCCCTAGGAGCTGGAGGGACCCGGATACCTTCTGTTTCACAACTGGTATACTGGGAGCCCTGGCTGGCATGCTTGTCTTGGAAGCTTTACCACAGAGATAGAGGCTAAGTGAGCATGGAGGGCCTGGGGTGGGATGGGCCTGGCTGCTAGGGGGGCTCCTAGGGCTTAGGGAGGGACAGAATTAATGCTATAAATCTTTGAGTCCCGGATGCTGGGAGCCCCACCCACTCTTCCTGGAGAACTGAGGTCAGCGCCCAAGGGTGTGGGGGCAGGTCCCATTGTACGCTTTGGGGAAAGGGCTGCTCTGGTATCTAGGCTGTGACTTGTCCTGACAGGTTGCTCACCATGATTGTATGATGTATGAGCCTGGGGGGGGTGGGGGGGGTCCCCTGTAGGCCTCTGTGTGCTCCGCAGTCCTGGGCAGCCCACCCTTTCCCTGCAGGGCCTTCCTGTTCCTGCTCTTGGAACACTAGTCCTGCTGCTCTCTGGCTGTCTGCTGGGCTACAGAAAGCCTGCAGAGACTTTTTATACCAAGCCCTGGTGAGCAGCCCAAGGTGGGGCCTTGGGTGTTTGGATTTGGGCCTTCCTGGGGCTGCAGGCTCCTGGCAACATGGCTATGTGGAGAAGTTTCCGCAGACTCCCGCCCAGCTTTGCACATCCGCATGCCTCTGATCCAGGAGCCTGTTGACTCAACCCTCAGGCAGCAGCAGGCTGGCCTCTGCCACCAGGGGGTGGGGGAGGAAGGTCCTAGGCAGACATGGTAGGGAGGGCACCACTGGGGCGCCAGCAACTCCATGAATCCTGAGTCTGCCCATGGATTTGGGAAGCCGGATGGAGGCGGCTGTAGGCAGGAGCAGCCCAGAGCTCTGGCAGGCAGCCAGAACTGTGCTGTTTCTGTCCACAAGCTGGCCTTAGCCAGGCTGCTCTGGGTGGGTGGCTGAGACATACCTGCAGGTGAGTCCCCAGGGACATAACTTAGCCACTGGTGTCCTGCTAAGGACTTCAGGAGAGGCCTTGTGCCCCCAGGACTACAGGTTCTTGCCAGAACACTTGTGCAGAACAGGAAAGTCTCTATGTCCCTGGGAGCCCCGTCTCTTTATCCCTTTTGGATCAGTGCTTTTTTGATCTGGTCCGCCATTAGAGCTTCCTAGACTTTTCAACCCTGCCTTGGTTACCCACCTTTTCCTGAAAACAGAAGTTCTTTGCTCTACCTGGGGGCTCCCCAATGATGCTATGCTGAGATTTGCTCCCGGTCCCCCCAGTTTTCTGCAGAGATAATTATATTTGGCTCTCATTCTGGTGAGTCATCCCTAGTCTTCAGGGTCCCTGGCCCACATGTCTGCCCTCTATCCAAGGTTAGCCACCCTCAAGGCTGCACCCATTCAGCAAGCCCTCTCCGTCCATTGTGAGCCCCGATTGGTTCACCCTGGCTCCAGGGCCACTCGTCCTCTCACTGCCAAGGCCTATTGCAGCTCCTGTGGGACCCACTACGCCAGAGGGACCTCTGCCCTTGAAACTGGCCAACTCTGCCATGGCCTGGCCTCACTGGGGTTGCTGAGCCTTGGGAGACACAGGCTGCAACACACCACCACAGGCCCCAGGTCAGAATTCAGCATTTGTTTTTCCCAGGGAGAGTGCCCTGTGCCAGAGCTGTCTCCATTCCTGGAGGCATTGAACCTGGACTTGACAGGATTGCTCAGCAGAAGCAGGTTTGACGGTCCCACTCAACCTCATTGTCCCATCTGTGAAGAGGGAATGTCACTGCTGGGCATCCCATGGAGCTGCTGAAAGATTGAGGGAGCTTAAGTACCCTCAGGGCCCCAGGCCTGGGGTAAGCTGTTCTGCTGTTTACCCACTAGGCAAGCCTTGGGTGTGGCCTAGGCAGGGGCAGGGCAGCAGCTCCAGGAAGGAAGAATGGCTGCCTGCTGCCAGGGCCATTGTCACTTCTGAGGGGCCGGTTTCTCTGGTCCCTGGACACTGGGAAGGAACCAGCTCAAGCCTGTGGTGGTGCCTGGCTCCAGGTTAGGGTCTGGGTTTGCAGCCAAGGGCTATGTTTCTATCCTCTGGGCCCTGAACAAGCAGAGCCCCCTGGAGTGCCATCTGCTACAGCACCTGACAGGCAGAGCACAGGAGGATTGGACAGAAGGGGATGCAGAGGAGAGGAAGGGCTGGAGGGAGTCCTCACTTCATGGCTTGGGTGACTGTGTAAGCTGGCAGGAAATGGGCTTTGAGAAACAACTCTCCACCCCAGTTCCTGGTCTGCTTTGCTGGCATGACTTTCTTGCTCTTCACTCCCTCACCAGGCCTGGATGTCCATTACCCTTACAGGGACACTGATGCTCCCAGCTTCTCTTTTCTTCTGCCAATATCCCCTCATTTGCGGGCCTGTGGTGGTGGGTCCTTGGGCAAGGTCCTGGGGTGACTGACTGTTGGCCCTTCCCTAGGGACCATGGAAGTAGCTGAGACCAACTGTGAGATTTTGGGAGGTCATAGAGCTTTGAGGGTCCTCCTTTGAGCCTCCAGCAGAGGCTTGTGGTTGTGACTCTGGATCTGGCCACATGTGGTTCCCACCCTGCAGACACAGACACGTTAGGTGCCTGGGACCAGGGTGCTCCAGAAGACATTCTTGGGGGTGAGGAGGCTTGCCTGGGAGTCCCCAGCTTCTTTTAGAGGGGAGGGAAGGGAAAGTGAGGTCCTTGGGCAGGGACCTGGGTTCTGTGGGTGCCGGTCATAGGGCAGGTGAACTCCTCAGACTAGGCCATGTCTCAGGATGCAGACGCTCTTCTTGAGCTTCTGGAAGCATTCTAGCCATAACTCCCCCTTCTCCTTTCTCTTGTGGCCACAGGCTCAGATTCCAATACTCTGTGACAAAATAGTAGTCTCCAAACCATATGCTACAGGCCATATGAGGGCCTGTGGGCCTGTTTAACATCGATCTACCACCTGGACCTGGATATACAGAGCCTCCCAGGCCTAGAGCTAGCCAGGTAGTAGGTTCTGGGCAAAGCTGGGGTCCTTACCACCCTCATTCTGATTTTGTTCCCTTTTACCAGGTCTGGCCTCTTTGGACTGTCTCCATCTACTCTGCTGCCTCCAGCTGATGACCCCTCTACCATTAGCTGCAATGGCCAGGTTACTGAGGAAGGGACTGGGGAAGCAATGCAGCTGGAGACAGGCTCCTTGCCTCCTCCCCACAAAGACAAGTCCCCAGAGGAGGAGCAGCCTCTCAAGACAGCTGGTCCTGAGCTGCCCCCACCCCTTGTACCACCTCTGCCTGTTGGTAGCCTACCTCCCTTCCCACCCTACTTTGAAGGTGCCCCATTCCCCCACCCGCTATGGCTGAGGAACACCTACCAGCAGTGGGTACCCCAGCCCCCACCCAGGACCATCAAGCGGACCAGGCGGCGACTGTCCCGCAACCGGGATCCAGGCAGGCTCATCCTGAGCACCATACGCCTGAGGCCACGCCAAGTGCTGTGTGAGAAATGCAAGAGCAACGTGAGTCCCCAGGAGGCCACCTCTGGCCCCCTGGCCACTCCCAGGGCCCGCCGGAGGCTGGGCAGTGGCCCTGACAGTGAGCACCGCAAGCTTGAAGAGCCAGAGGATGGTGACCGCACAGCTGCAGCCACCCCAAGGAGAAGCAAGAGGGAGAGACGGGAGGAGGACAGGGTCCCTGGGGAGCAGGTGCCACGGAGCCCCGTCATCAAGATCTCTTATAGCACACCCCAGGGCAAGGGCGAGGTGGTCAAGATCCCATCCAGAGTGCATGGCTCCCTGGAGCCCTTCTGCCCTCAACAGTCTCTACAGAATGGCAGCCAGGACTCGGAGGCAGTGAGGGATATAGAACCCAGGGGTAGTGGGGACCGGCCACCCAGTGGGCCTTCAGCCTCTATCCCTAAACTGAAGCTGACGCGTCCAGTGCCTCCCACCTCAGACCTGCCGCCTCCCAAAATCCGCCTGAAACCCCATCGGCTGGGGAATGGGGAGCGCGAGCCCTTGTACCGGGCTGAGCTAGTGGAGGAGCTAAATGGCTGCCCACGTGGCCACAGGGCTAGCTCTCCCTCCCTCTTTGCTGATGGCTCTACCCGCAAGCTGGAAGATTTGTCTTCTGGAAGTTCTGGTGAGGATGATGACCTCAAGAGGTTTCCCCAAGGTAAACCGGGACGAGCTGGCTTGACTTTTCTTGTTGATTGCCCTGAGAGGAGAGCAGATTGTGCCAGTGAATCTATGTGCAGCAGTGACAGCCTCGACGAATTGAAATCGTCTGGTTCAGAAGTGACATCTCCAGACACAGGGGACCTGTCATCCGGAGATGGTACCTCTGCACTTTCCTCTTCTGGTGATGCTCACCAGACAGTCCCTCCCCTCACAGTCAGACTGCACACTCAGAGCGTCTCACAGTGCGTGACTGAAGACGGAAGGACGGTGACCGTGGGGGACATCGTGTGGGGTAAGATTCATGGTTTTCCTTGGTGGCCCGCGCGCGTCCTTGACATCAGCCTTGGCCAGAAGGAGGACGGAGAGCCCTCTTGGCAAGAAGCAAAAGTCTCATGGTTTGGGTCTCCAACTACATCATTCTTGTCTATTTCAAAACTTTCCCCTTTCTCTGAATTTTTCAAACTGAGATTTAACCGTAAGAAGAAGGGGATGTATCGGAAAGCTATAACTGAGGCGGCAAATGCCACGCATCATGTGGCTCCAGAAATAAGGGAGCTCTTGACCCAGTTTGAAACGTAACTTTGGTTCCAGGAGCAGGTGAGTGTTGTGTTCACTGGGTGTCAGCTGTCCCTGAGCCAGCCGTCCTGAGCTTCTGCCCGCATCTAGCCCCAGAGAGCCAGCCATCAGGCTTGCTGCTTGGAAGGAGCTGTCCTAAACATTGTCCTTGTTGTTTCCCGTCATGGGTTCCAGAAGAGATGCTATAAAGGGTCCAGGCATCAGCTGTTCATGCTAGTTTAGTTGTGCAGCTGATTTTCAAAGGAGCCTTATGAGTCTTCTGCTAGGATTTGGAGAAAGGGATGCAGTTTGCCCAAAAGGGCTGGGAGAGTCCAGGGCGGGCCTTCATCTTCTGTCACTCACTAAGGGAGCTTCCTTCACACTTCCCAAATACTACTGGCCTTAGAGCTTTCTGCTTGTGGGTGTGCATGCCCTGCTGGCCAGGCATCTTACTGGCAGGAAGGAGGGAGGCAAGAAGAGAGCATCTTACTCTCCTGTGGGGCTTCGCCTCCCTAGACTGGCAGCTCCCTTCATCTCCCTTCTCCCTTTCTCCTGACTGCAAATGTGGTGGTTCCTGAACGCCTATCTGTGATCACCATGTAGGGTATCTAAAAACTTGCTGAGGGGCTGTGACCTACCTGTGCTTCTCACTGGCCCATTCACATCTGACGGCACCTCTCAGCTGTGTTGGCACCTTTCAGACAGGACTGGCCTAGGACTGGACATCCCTCATCCTGGCAGCATCACATATGGCAGCACCTGTGCCGTTCTTCTGAGATCGTTGGCCTAATGTGATCCAGTACGGAGACTTGGAGACCCAGTGACTGTAGGTAGCAGACAAGAGTAGCCCATCCCCCAGTTGGACCTCTGACTTGGTCTTGGTAACCTTTAGTGACTTGTCTGCCCAGGCCACCAACTCTCTCCACCAACATGGCATCATGGTTTCTTGGGTGATAGCCTGTCAGGCCTTACCAAGGCCAGCTGATACCTGGTTGGAGAAGGAGTCTGGAACACCCCTTATGCCTGTTCACTGATTTGTCATGTACATTGAGGGTCCCAGGGGAGGAAGTAGTACTGAGGGGTAAGTTTTGGGGCCAGCTCTGAGGGCCCAAGGCTATGGCCTGACCTCTTCCCTCTCCATTGGTCCCTGAATACACACATATAAACTCTTTTCTTTCCACAGCCAGGCTCATTTCCTTAGTTATGGGGCCCTTGTTTAGGATGAAGCAGATGCAAACAGGCTTGGGGAGCAGGAAGGGGGTGGGAATATTGCAGAAGCTTTTGCATATTGTAACCCAGGGCAACCTGGGCTGGTCAGAAAAAGGTCAGATGACTTGCCAGGTCCCCCTTGCTATATATATCCTGGCCCAGTGGGACCCCCACATGCAGCCATGTCCTACTGACCTGGAGCATTGTTCACCTGGCATTACCTTCCTGGGCCCCTCACCCTCTTACCCAGACCCTCTCTTCAGTGACCAGGCTCTGGCCTGGCTAAAGGCAGTTCAAATGAAGGTTGAGAATACCTCTCATATGCCCTGATCATGTGCCATAAGCCCAGCTCCTGGTGAGAGATACCAGCCTGGTCCTCACAACGTGGCTTTTAGTTCTGATCACAATGGCTGTGTGGACCCAGACGGTGACTGGGACAGCCACTCAAATGGACCCATGGGTTCTGGAGGTCCAAAGAGGCCTTAGCTGCACCTTGGAGAATGCAACCTTGTAGGTTCTGGGCTGGCCCTGTTTGTCTGGAAGCAGAAGAAAAATCTCACCCAACTGGTTTGCCTAGCCCCTGTTCTCTGGGCTGTGCCTGGACCAGCATGCACCCAGCAGCCCTTGGCCTTCTGAGGAGTACGGGGCATTGGGTCTCTGCAGCAGCCAAGTGCTCAGGGGTGCTTGCTTGACTGGCATTTTGGTTTTGTTTTCTAAGGGCTAAAGATGGAGAGGTCTCTTTCCTCCCTGGCAGGTCCAGTGTTCAGTAGCAATCAGAGCTGGTGTGTGCAGCAGGGACTTCCTGCTGTGTGAATTAGGGTCTCCTGGTAGACAAATTTGCTTTGAAGTGTCTATAGTGTTGTTGAAGATAAACCCCTCCAACTTATGCAGGCGAGGAACCTGGGAACCCAGCCCTCCCAAGCTGCTGAAATCCTGGTGGGGGACCCAGGGAGAGAGACTGGCCTGGACACCTGAGAACAGGCTGCCTAGGGCTAGAGCTCAGGTAGGAGAGGCCTGCTGGGAAGGTCAGCTATTGGTCTGGCTCACTAACTGGCGAGGTCTGGCCCTGCAGCTACCTGACAGGGACAGCAGCTCCTCAAATGTTTGGGGTATCTGTGCCACTCCCACATGTACTGGGAGCAGCCAGCAAGCATAGCCACATCTACTTCCTTCTGAGGGCACTAACTCAGCATCCCATCCCTGAGAGGCCCCTCACTCAATTTGATGGGTGTCCAAAGGCACAGCTGAAGGAGCTTCGTGTAGACACCCTACAGATTGGACAATGAGGGCAGGGGCTATGGCCCTCTCAGGGACTGCCTTGATCCAGGTATACAGGCTAGGCTGTCCCCTGGGTGCACACAGAGACCGTAGTTTCCTTTTCTGTCACCTGGGTGATAACTATACTGATTGTGGTGATTGGGTGGTGTGGGGACACTGGGCTTAAGAATGAACTGTAGGTAGCTGCCTTTGAAGGTGACTTGCCATACTTGCAGCTAGGCACCAGGGTCTGTTTACCCACAGGCTGTGGTGGGAGCTCAGCAGCTGGGGGGCAAGCAGCTTTTGGGGTTCCTGGGTATGGAAGCAGGGTGTATACCCCTGGTTGGACAGGGCAGGCTCCCTGTTCCTGCCCATGATGCTGCTTGGGGTCCTACAGGAGCTGACCACTCAGCTTTGTCCCACAGATGGAACTGGTGCTCCCCAAGCTTGGGGCTTGCCCACACCCAGACCAGGCAAGCCAGGATGATGGGGGATTGGTTTGAGGCCCTGTGCATGAAGCTGCAGTGCTTCCCTAGCCCTCGGTCCTGTCTTCCTCCTCTGCCTAGTCTGTCCCCGATCTCTACCCTCCAGTACTCAACTAGATCTAGTCTAGCAGGATGAGTAGAATCCTGGAGATGTCTGTGAGGCCCCATTCCCAAAACATGTGTAATCACATACACAAGCACTGGGAAGGAAGGGACAAGGGACTTGAAGCAGAACATCTGGTAGGATCTTGGAAGACTTTCTGGGAAAGGTGACTTGAACCAAGATCTCAGTGGTGAGCTAATCAGAAACTGGGGTGCGGGGGATTGTGAGAGGCAGTGCCAGGGTGGGTCCTGTTCCAGTGGTACAGACTCTGGCCTGACCCTTGGGTCAGGGACACCTAAAATACAGGACCCAGAGCAGAGAACAGGTCATTTGTGCTGAAACAACCCTGCTTTGAGAACAGGATGTGATGGGGCTGGGGCTGGGGCTGAGGTTGGGAAGGTGTCTCCTGGGGCCAGAGGGCACTGTTTTCCCTGCCCCACAATGCTCACCCAACCTCAGGGTGGCCTCAGTGGGCTGATGAGGTGAGGGAAGTATCTGAGGACTGTTTGGAGGTATCTCCAGTAGAGAGCCCAGAGCTCTGGTACTTAGGGCCAGGGGTGAAGGAATTCAGTATGACATAGGTGAAGACAGTGCTGTTAATGACAGAATGGGAGGTGGGGAACTGCTGTTGCTGGGGGAGGGGGGCAGGCTGGCACGGCTCTGTTCAGAGCCTCAGTGAGACAGGGAAGGTGACGGGAGAGACAGAGTGGTAGTGTGGAGGCAGGAAAAGGGTCTAGACAGGAATTAACTATCCTTAGAGAAAGGTAGCCATCTACGACCAGAGGGGAGGAGACCTTGGGGCTGACAGTGATGGGATGGGACTTTGCCTACTTTACACCCCAGCACCACCAAGAGGTGGGCAGGTACTGGGTTATAGCTGCTAAGTTATGCCTGGGGATTGGTGAGAGGTATACAACATACATACTCAGGTATCCTGGGAGCTGCAATGACTGATGGTGCCATGCCTCTGTTTCCCTGAGTGCCCAAGCCTTCCATGGACAGAGCTGCAGAGTTGGCAAGTAGCCAGTGCACTGTGCTTGGCTGCTGAGTGGACTGGAAGCTGTGGCACCTCCCTTCAGGGAAGATAGCCCATCCCCTAGGACATCCCAGGCCCCAGACATAGACATGTCCAACACTCCAGAGTGGCTGGGCTGGGTTGGGAGCGATCCTAGGGAATATAGCATGCCCTCCCTCCCTGTGGCTCCATGCGCTTGATGTTCTCCTTTGCTGGACTGTCATCTTCCGTGGAGTCAACTTGTCCCTGTGGCCACGGCAACAAACTGCCACAAAATAGGGACTATAAACACTTCCATGGCCTTTACAGTCAGAGTTCTAAAATCAACCCTTGGGCCCAGCTGGGTTCCCTCTGGAAGCTACAGGGAGAGAGCTGCTCCTCCAGCTTCCAGTGGCTTCAGGTGCTCCTCTTCTTCTGTTACCTCATAGCTGCTGCTGCTTGCTCAGTGTAGGATCATCAGCTGCCTTTCTAACAAGGACCCATGATGGCTTTTTTTTTTTTTTGTACAGGCTATCCCCAGCTGGCCTAGAACTCACTATGTAGACCAGGCTGGCCTCAATCTCACAGAGATCTGCCTGCCTCTGCCTCTGCTTCCAGAGGACTAGAATAAAAGGTATGTGCCACCATTCTGGACTCCATGATGGCTTTTGAGGCCCAACTATCTAGTCAGTATAATCTTAGAAATCTCGAATTGAGTTCCATATGTAAAAATACATCATAAAGATTGACATTCCCATAATCCAGACCATCACTAACTTGGAAGGCCATGAGGCAACCAGTTCTGGGAGCTAGACGGCCCCTGTCACCTTCTGCTTCTCCATGTTGGTTGATTCCTCCTGGAAAAATATTAAAATCTGGCGTTACAGGTGGTAGTACACTGTACCTGCCGGGTTGAGAGGAGAGTGTAACCCCAGACCCCAAATGTTCTGTGCAGTGCCCCTGACTCATACCTCCCCCATCCTCTCCAGCCTTT